GAACTAGACTCATTCATAGATAGAGCACAGCCTCCTAATCAATGAGCTATGCAGTTGTCTCAGTCCTGTTAATTAACCCTAAGCCGTGACATAGGGCTCCTTATGTGGCCTTGACAATGCACACCAAAAGCATTAACAGGGACACCATCCATGCGCAACATGGCACTGTTAATACTCTGATATTTTGCAGCTGTTGATGAAATCAGCCTCTCTGAGAGCTACCACAGAGTTTGGGAAATCTTACTACCAGTCGGCCTCAGAACCATTAAACTGAGTTTTAGAGCTGTACCCTCATATGGAGATAACAGGAAGAGTTGCATAGCTATTATCAATGAGGCATAAGCAAAATTCTATGAGTAGAGTCAAGGAGATCCAGTATTCATCATCCTAGGCAGGAAACAATGTAACACAGGTTACATCTACGCCAGCCTAATAGATAAAGAAAGGGTTCGAGGCTGGTTAGCAGAATTTTTCTGCTTACCTCTAAAGTCTTTGCCTAGGAAGCCTTCTACAAGACAGTAACAGGATGCAGTTAACATCTGCCGTGTTTTTATCGAGACACCATCTCTAGCCTTTACTCAACCAAGAGCCCCAAGGCAGGGGAATTTTTAGTCTGAGTTTATTTCTCCTAGCCTTTGCATAAGAAGAGCACACTCTGCAAGGCAGCAGGGCTTGTGGCAGGTGGTACTGGGTTACGTGATACCAGTAGCAAGATTGATCTCGATTATCCTGACCTGACCTGGAGTAGTTAAAAGGAGTTACTTCCCGCAACAGTACTTTGAGAAAACCAGGCATGACATTTTGGAAGTGCATTAGAAAAAACACTGCATCTAACAAAATACAGAAGTCTAAGGTGAGTGTAGGTTTTGTAGTTGGAGTAAGTAGTTAGTTACTGAGCTCATGCTGCATTCGAATATAAACAGAACACAACCAAACATAAGTCAACTTACGGGTGAGTCAACACCGCGCCAGAGGTTCAGACAGAACACAAACATACATAAAAAATATAAAGTAACTTACGGGTGAGCGAACACCGCGCCAGAGGTTCAGACAGAACACAAACATACATAAAAAAACATAAACATAAACATAAAGTAACTTACGAGTGAGCGAACACCGCGCCAGAGGTTCAGACAGAACACAGACATACATAAAGAACATAAAGTAACTTACGGGTGAGCAAACACCGCGCCAGAGGTTCAGACAGAACACAAACATACATATAACGTAGATTACAGGTGAGCTAATACAGTAACTAAGGCACCTCCAACTATATGGAAAAAAAAAAAAAAAAAAAAAAAAATTACTATAGGCATGACTGATATAAGATAGTACTGATGACAGGAGGAACACTCCTTCCAGCCTTTGCTTATATAGCAAATCCTGCAAGGCAGCAGAACATGGAACAGGTTGCAATGGGTTACATGTTACCATTAGCAGGATGATCATGAAGACCATACTCCTGACCTGACACTGTTTTAATGCAGCTAAGGGTTTTAATGTTTTAATGCAGCTAAGGGTTACTTAAGTGTTTTGCCAATCATTAATAAACAATAACAAAATATTATGCAGAAATTTTTGAACATAAATTTCTAAACATAACTTAGCAGGCAATTGCCTACTAATGGTCATGTTACTAGATATTTTCTGTATGTTATTTCCTCCAAGGTTAAAAGATTCAGACCAATCAAGACTAACCTTGCTTGTGCACAAAAGACATCTTCTGGAGATATGAAGTGCATAGGAACTGATGGACCTTGCAATGCTGTGACTGGAGAATACTGTTTGCTCCAGAGTATTGTAAATGTTTAGGCCTCTTGTGGTTTCCAGAATTATGTTCTTTTAGAAGTAAGCATTCTAAATAAGTTTCTAGAAATTTACAAGCAATATAAAGCTGTTTGTAATGAAAAAACACTTAAAATGAAACCAAATGCATTTCAAAAGCAGCAAGAAAAGTTCCTGATAATGACAGATAACCTGTTTGACATCAGTTCACAACGGTTTGAGTACACCATATGTCATGATACTTCTATGCCAAGAGACAGTGCTACAATATAAGAAGTTCTAGACTTTCTTCAAGATTAAAGACAAGACAGAAAAATGTTTATCAGTGCTTGCGTTAATGAAGAGTCAGAGGTCAGGATCAAAGTATTTTTTAATTATTTCCTAGTCATTTCTCTCTCCCCCCCCCCCCCTTTTTAATATCATGTCATGCAAGAGATAAAAATTTTTGATTTCATTATTCTAAAAAACATCTTTGATAGGTCCTCCTAAGCTGTAACCTGATAGAGAAGATTATCATCCTGATTTAAGCAATGAACCAACTTTGGATGATAAGCCTGATAGACCTAAATCAAGATACAGATCTGGTTGCTCAGCCTTAGCAGTAAACAAGGAGATCACTAGGGAGAGTTTGATTGCATCAACCACACCAACTTGTATGAGAACTGGTATCAGTATAAGAGATCAAACTCTATTTATCTTTAGAATTGTCAATTATCTTAAAGGATCACAGAATTAAGGTTAAGCAGAGAGTCGCTTAGAAGAGGCAGATACAAACAAATCCATTCTGAAGGTAGAAAATTATACTGTTTCAACATTTTAGCTTTTAGATTGTAATAATATAAAAATCTGTTTTAGATTGCTGATTGATAAAGTTAAATTTAAAGATAAAAATCTGTTTAGGTTGTAAAATCCGCAATCAGTATATGGAAACAATGAAGAACAAACCATTGGTTTTACACTTTGATGGAAAAATAGTAAAGCACTTAGAAAAAGAATCAAGGAAAAGAGTTAATAAAATTAATAAATCTAAAAGTCTATAAATATAAAACTAATAAATCTAAAAATAAAATAATCTAAAATAAAAGATCCATATAAATTGATAGACTAGCAGTATCAGTTATAAGTCCTGAGTTTTCGTCAAACAATGATTTACTTATTGGAGTTGTTCCTGTGGACAATGGGAAAGCTAATGATATGGCTATTGTACTCCAGAACCTGGTAGAATATTTCGAAATATCAGTTAATATTATTGGTTTGTGTACTAACACAACAGTTATAAACACAGGTAAAAAATCAGGAGGAATTGTAACTTCAGAGTTTTAGGACAATATTTTTCTTTGGGATCTCTGCAACATGGTACCAACACAAGAGCCAGTTCTCTGGCTCTTGTGTTGGTACCACATTGCAGAGATTAGAAAACCTAATTACAGATTACTAAATTAGAAAACCTAATTACAGAGGAAAGTTGGCTTCTGTTCTTTATTACCGACACTACTAGCGTTGTCAGGGAGTGGTATCAGGTTGCGGGAGACTTGGGGGAACTTGCATCTTATAAAGAATTTTGTAGCTTTGTATTTGGGTTAAGTTTTACTAATGATTGTGCAGAAAGAAACATTGGTCAATTTGTTGGAAATGTTTCAATTGTTCAATTGAAACATTGAATATGTTGATACATTCCACAATAAAGATCAATGCCAGAATATATTGTTGGTTGTCCGAGAGCATAAAAAGCTTGTCTCAAAAAAAAATGCCACAGTCTCAGCTCATATTAAATAAATGATGTTAGAAAATAATTGTTTTGATTTTTTTTAATCAGTTTACTATTTTAAATAAAGACAATTTTAAAAAACAGTTTAAAATTTAATTTTCTTCATAATTAAGTTAAAAATGTATCATTTTTTCCAAAATTTATGTTTGGAATTGAAACTTAATTTTTACTTGTAGCTGTTCCCAACACATTTAAAAGGAAATACATTTGGGAGGGACTCTTTATATGGTGTATAATGGATAGAAAACCTTAGCATGTTCAAAATTAAAATTTTTTTTTTTTGCATTTTTGGGTCGCTCTAATATATATATATATATATATATATATATATATATATATATATATATATATATATATATATATATATATATATATATATATATATACATATATATATATATATATATATATATATATATATATATATATATATATATATATATATATATATATATATATATATATATATATATATATATATGTACATATATATATATATATATATATATATATATATATATATATATGTATATGTATATATATATATATGTATACATATATATATACATATATATATATATATACATATACATATACATATACATATACATATATATATATATATATATATATATATATATATATATATATATATATATATATATATATATATATATATATAATATATATATATATATATATATATATATATATATATATATATATATATATATATATATATATATATATATATATATATATATATATATGTATATATATATGTATACATATATATATATATATATATACATATACATATATATATATACATATATGTATATATATATATATATATATATATATATATATATATATATATATATATATATATATATATATATATATATATATATATATATATATATGCATACACTTATTTGGATGTCAGTTTTTTTTTTTGTTGTTTTCATATATTTATTTGTTGTAAGATTTGTTGTGGTAGATTATAGATTTTCTGGATTTTATTCTGATTAGCTATGGTCTAAATAATTTTAGAAGATCTGAATGATGTTTAAATAATGGCTTTATAATGCTAAAATAATTGCTAAATGCTAAATAATGGTTTAAATGATGTTTAGAATGATTTTAAATCGTATAGTTGTTTATAAAAAATTTTTTCTAAATGTTTTGATTAATTAGGATACAAAATCTACATAAAAAAAAAAAATTAAAAAGATTTTAAAAGTTTAGTGAAAAAAAAAGAACCAAGTTTTACCAACCATGTTTCTAGCAGTATTAAGTTCAAATTCTTTTTTGTCATATTTGTAAAATAAAAAACATTTTAGGAAATGTTTTTTCAAAGTCTATGTTGTTTATAAAAAAGGCTGACTGCTTTATAATTATTTTTTATTATTATTATTTTTATTTCATTTTTCTATAAATATAGCTACAAATGGATGATTCCATTTTCTTATACTGTTCTTAACAAAATATCTGGAATATGGACAAAAAGTGAAATCAAAACTGAGTTGTTAAAAATGAATAACAGTAAGTGTTTGTTTTATTTTTTGTTTGAAACTTCAACTATGTCAGCATGTAAAATATCTTTAAAACAAATAATACAGAAACAAAAATATTAAAATACAATAAATAATACAAGAGCAAACATATAACCTTGCAGTACTTCTAAAAATACTGGAAATGAAGAAGAGTGTAAGCCTTTGAGAATGACTTCAATACTGCTGTTAGAATAAAAAAATAGTTTAATAACCTTTAAAATTTTATATGAACAAACTAATACTAAAAAGAAGACTAATCGTAAGATTAGTTAGAAAGTTTAGAGTGTGTTCTTGAGTTTTCAAATATTAGAACCATTTATTTATTAATAATAAATATAATTATAAAAATATAATAAATATAATAGATATTTATTATTACTATTTAGCACTTTTTTAACCAAAGAATTTTTTTTACTATTAGCTCTTCAAAGGCAAAAACTTCTAAAGGATGTATTTTTTGATAAAAGAAAAACATGTCAGCATGTAAACTCTTACATCCTGAAAAGTGCACAGGATGTATTAATAAATAAAATTTAGTTGATTTAATAAAATTTCACAATTATTTTAGTTTAGTAAAAAAACACTCTTCTACCATCTTATTGTTATAACGTTCTCAACTCTATAACTAGTTACATGCCTCCCAATGTTTGTGTTTTGACACAAACTTGTTGTCAACATTTGTGTCAAAACACAAACATTGACAAACAAAACTAATAAAAAAATAAGTGCAGTATTGCTAATGAGTTCAGGGGGATTCAATCTCAATCTCTTTTACAAAATTTGTTGTGTGACACAGTTGTTTGATTTCAATTGTGTGACAGATGTTTGATTTCAAGTGTGTGACACAGTTGTTTGATTTCAATTGTGTGACACAGTTGTTTGATTTCAATTGTGTGACACAGTTGTTTGATTTCAATTGTGTGACATTATTGTTTAATTTCAATTTATTATAATCTCTAACTCTTTTACAAAAATGGCGTATTTGTTTTTTACAAAAATGGTTTTGAAACATTGGGTTTGTTTTTTTTGAGAATAGAAAGAGAAACAAAATGTTTTAAAAAAAAAGCAATGTTTTTTTAAAATTTTTTTTGTTTTATTCATGTAGAATTCATTGAGTTTAAGAAATATAGCTTATCCATTGCCTCCCACATTTTGCATGTAATTGTTTCCATAATTTTGCATGTTCTTTTGTTAATGTCTTTATTTCTGTCAAAAACATTTAATTTTCCAAAAACTTTACAAAAAATAGTCTTGATCAATTTTATTTAGTTTTTTATGCAACTTTTATATTATTACAAAATTAAATGATTGGTTTTGTTACAATTTTTTAATGATAAAAAGCATTATATAAAAACAATAATATAAAAATTGAAAAAAGTCATTAGCACTACAAACCTTTAGTATAACTTACAACCTGAATTGTAACTCCTTTTTGTTTATTATAATTTACTACCTCAATTACAACCTCTTTATGCTTAGTTTGATTTGCAACTTTAATAATCCTAAAATGTAGTTTAATTAATACCATATTGAATAATTAATAATTAACTTACAACTTAAACTTTTGTTCAGTATTTTTTTATATTTTATCTTAAAATTATACTACCATTTGATGATATAGAGCTTGTTTCGAAGTTCCCAGTACATTTTGAAGGTCACTAGTTCCCAGTACATTTTGAAAAGATTTTTGTTTTAAGAATACAATGTTACATAATGTTACTTTATTTATTGGTTATTTTTTGTAAAAATTCTTTTTTTGAAATTTATTATTATTTTAGAAGCACTTCATTCATTAGTTCATTATCATAAAATATAACTACAATGTTCATCTCTGTGTTCAAACAAAGCTTACAATTAACATTGAAACATTACAACAAAAGGGTAAAAGAGAAGAAATGTTTAATCACAGAATGTATATATATATATATATATATATATATATATATATATATATATATATATATATATATATATATATATATATATATATATATATATATATATATATATATATATATATATATATATATTAGGGTGTTCCAGCTGTGCCAAAAATTAAAATATGATTGTAGATAGCTGTTCAATTTTTTGGTAGCAGGTTTTGGCCTAAAAACAATGGCTGTTAATTTTCTTCTGCAATCTGATTACATATGAGTTAGCGCAAATCACGTGAAAAATAAACAATTTTTGTGATAAAGTTTTTTAATGGATTGGTTCAAAACCAACTTGTTATTTTTAAATCACATTTAATGTTATACTTTATTTGGAATTCAATTTAATTTTGTTTAAATTTTTTACAAGTTCGAATTTGAATATTCGATGGATTTAAAGGTGGGCTGGAAAGGAAGTTGGGTTGGATGCTATCTAAATTCATCAGATTCTTGATGGTTGATTGATTGACTACTATCTAAATTCAGGTTTAAATTCTGTCAAATTCTGTCTAACAGATCAGATATCTGTTTCCACTCTAAAAATAAATATGTTTTAATTAATGAAGCAAACAAACAAAAAGTTATTTGGTTATTAAGTTATATTTTACTATTAATATTTTAAAGTTGTTATATCTAAAAATAATTTTCTAATATAAATGTACAATAATGGAAACTAGACATAATAATTGAAACATACAAATGATACAAGGGACCACTCCTGATATTTAGAAAAAAAGAAAACAAGAGGCAAAAACTGTCAACAAGGAAACAAGTTCTTTGCAAGCCTATAACGATTTAAAGATTTAATCTTAATGCTGCACCAAAACAGAACTAATGTTCTGAAGTATTATATGAAGACAAATATCCCTCCAATAAGTGAAAAAAACAACATTGGCAAAATAATCATGGAAGCACACCATGAATGTATAATGTTAATGAAATACAATAAGAATCAAAGACAATTAAATAACCCAGGAATCAGGAAATTTTTGTCAACATTTGATGCTATTATGAAATTCTATAAGAAATCTGTTCTACAGGATATGCTCAGAAACAACATAGAATGACTAAAGAAAAAGAAATTATTAATTGCAAACATTGCTTTTATGCAAAGCATAATAAATGACTGGAAAATGTCTTATACAGGAACTGACAAGGTCCATGCAAAAGTTGCTGAGAAAAGACAGAATAGAACCAAGATGAACAAGTCTCCTCACCACAGTTTTAACAAGTTTTACCCACCGTTAAAAAAATTTCATAATTGTTAACTATGCAATTATTTTTAAGTTAATATAAATAAGAAACTGGTGCTAGAAGCCCTATTATAACTTAAGAAACTTTTAAGATATTACTACTAAAAAATATGTGAAAGTTCCTTTTTGTTTTAAAGCTCAACAAAAGAGCAATCAGGCGTTGACAGAGGCTACATCTAACAAATGTATAAAATATCACTTTCAGAATTAACAATGACTGCTTCCCATAGTTGTAGCAGTTGTATGTTTGGCCTGGAAATATGTCAATGTCATGCTAAAGTGTAAAAATAGCGGCAAAAATCACACCAAAAAAACCTTCCATTTTAAATTATAAATTTAAATGAAATTAACTTTGAAACATTTACTCCAGATTTTACTTAATGTAATGTTGTTATTTATATTAGATCTATAACTTATTTTTGATAACTTGTCATTACTAGAGATATGAGTGCATAATGTAGCATTTTAAATACAAAGCTTAAAAGATAAACATTTACATTATAATTCTATGAATGTTTAAATTAGTTTATGTATGTTGTGCGCTATTTACCATTTAGTCACAAAATATTTTTTACAGAACAAATAATAGAGTTAAAATATATACAAACTCTCTAAGTTGCCAATGAAAACGTTATAAAAGTTGTTTAAAAAAGTTGCGCTCAAGAAGTATCTAATGACTATTGATATCAAGAACAGGAGAAATCTCTTTGTTTTTCCACTACAACGGTTATGTAACAAAGTAGATACAATAAGCAATAGTAGGTTAAAGACTATTTGTGTGTATATGCCAAGTAAATTGAGTTTGTATCATATTAGATACTATATGAAATAAAGGGTTAATAAACATGTTGTTGAAGAAATTTTTCTTTTAGCAATTGTTAATTTGTCTCTTTTGTAACAAAAAATCTACTAATAATTGAAAATCTTTGAAATCAGGTAAGACTAACAAAGCAATCGTTTGTTACATTTTGTGATATACTAATAGTTTTTTTAATTTTTTATTCAAAAAATGTTTTTAAACAAACTCTAGAAATAATGAAAGCTTTTACGTAATGGACTAAAGAATCATTTAAGTAATAGACTAATTATTGTTAAAGAATTGATTCATTAACATTACTAGGACAGCATGCTGCAGTATGTGTCTGCCTGCAAAGAGAGCTATATCATTTCTTCTACCATTTAATCCACAATGGTGGATTAAATGCTCGCTTGCAGCTGATGCTCTAGTCAATTATTTGATTTTAGTTGAGAAACTGAAACTGTAGCATATCATGATTTTATAATTGTTGAAAAAAAATCCAGGTACAAACTATGCTCTTATCAAACATAATTGGTATCTGAATGAAGAGTTTTTTCTGTTGGCACTTTTTTCACAAATAATAACTGACAAAAACAAAGAGATTATGAGGCTCAGGTTCCTCCAATTTGAAAGTGATGGAAGCACTCTGTATCTTTTAGGGGATTTTGTGAAGAGCCTAACCTAAAGCCAATTTCAGAGGAGATAGAGTGACTGAGTGATTTAATTGTTTATTATATTGTTAATATTAATGAATAATATTGTTAACATTTAGTAATATTATTCAGTAAAAGAATTTTTGTTGCTATGTTACTTCTATGTTATTTCATTATTTCATTTTTGAAGTTAATGATTAGTTTTTAAAAATTTTTTCGGTTGCATCTCATGGTGCACAAGATTTTTAAAAGAAATAGAATCAAAACAAAATCTCTGTATGCCAAATATTAGAACTAATCATTAATTCATACAATCAACAAGTTTTGCACATTAAAAGTAAATGTTGATGAAACGCCAAATATTAGAACTAATTATTATACGCACACAATCAACAAGTTTTGCACATTAAAAGTAAATGTTTTTAATGTAGGGCTTTTAAAAAACCGCATAAAAAAAACCCCATGGTTAACCTTGGTTTTCAGTTTTTCTTTATAAAATTTAATAAAAAATGCAAGATAAACTTACATAATAAAATTTATGTAAGTTTATCTTGCATTTTTTATTAAATTTAGGCACCTTAACAACTGCAAAACATTTCTGTTAATTCTTTCATTGATGCGCTTTTTAAATTTGAATGCAATAAAGATGCGATTGATGCATCAGTACCTGCTGTCAATAACGCTGCATCTTCTCTGCTAAGGAATTCCAAATGAAATTCCTTAGCAGAGAAGATGAAACATTATCAACAGCAGGTTCTGCTTTTGAATTTATCTTTATTGCATTCAAAACTACCAGGGCTGCTTGTTTTGCTGGCTCAAAAGCGGCATGTAATGAAGTTAATGACTCAAAATCTATTTTATTGATAACATCAAGAGGATTTAATTCAGTAAATGTCAGGAATTAACATATTTTAGTTTTTAACAAAGGTGCGGTCATTGAAAAAGTGAATTCCAATGATGACAAACATCTAGATGCAGTTCAATTTTTTAAATTTTTTTAAATTTGATTACAAACTGATGACATTTTTATGAATTTTACTACTAGAACATAGTCAACAACAAAACTAAAATTATCATTGTAAATTCCATGTTCATCCTATGTAATTTCCGTTTCATTGGAAATTGGTAAGTTTGTTTCTTTATTTTTCTTGTTTGATGTGTTGCATACAACAAAGTGAAATGTTTGATAAAAGCAAAACTTATCAACAATGTCTGTTAATTGCATGAGCTTTGATTGATTGCTCACTATCTTGAACCTACTACATCTCTTTTCATACAGATACCGAATGAGTTCAAATGATCCTTAATATTTTGTATTAAACTTTCAGCTGGACAGGAACCATAAATTCTAATGAGGCCAGTTTTATAGGTTGACACCATTTTATTATTAATCAAAACACCATCTGTAGCTAGATCAGCTACAATTTCTTTAAGGCTTATT